GGTTAGTTTGGTGGAGATCACAGGAGCGGGGGAAAAAGGGGGAGGGAGGGAGGAGGGAGGGGGAGGAGGAGGAGGAGGGAGATATGGCGGCGGCTGCGGAGGAGAAGAGGTCGTTGTGTTTCTTAGGTATGGGGAGGGGATTCCAGATGCTTCTGGCTTTGGTGATTGTGATGGTCGGTCTGTTTGTGGAGGGGGTCAATGGCCGGTTTGTTGTGGAGGATAATACAATCAAGATCACATCGCCCCAAGATCTGAAGGGGAGTTATAAAGGCGCTCTAGCAAATTTCGGCGTTCCTCAATATGGCGGCAGCATGTCGGGACAGGTCGTCTATCCAGCGTCCAATCAAGAAGCCTGTAATGAATTCACGGCGGGACAATTCAAGGTTACTCCTGGGGAAATGCCGAATGTTGTATTAGTCGACCGTGGAAGTAAGTGGATGATGATGGATGATACTGGCTGGCAGACGTGTAGTCAATCATTTCCTGATGATGATGATGATGATGATGATGATGATGATGATGGAGGTCTAATTTGTCGATGATGATGATGATGATGATGAGGGGGTGTAATTAGTCGATAATGATGATGATGACGATGGGGATATAATGAGGCGAGGATGATGGTGATGATGGGGGGGAAAGTAATGAGGACGGTGAGGATGATGAGTACGATGAGGATGGTGAGGAGGATGGTGGTGATGATAACGATGATGATTGATTGATGGATTTGATGGGTTGTTTCGTTTTGTTTGTGTGATGGGTAAGTTGTGATTGATGGATTAGTCTATTTTCTTGGGTGATTGACTGATTTGATTGATTGATTGATTGATTGATTTGATTGATTGGTGTTCTGTTCATCCATCTCGAAGGCAGTGGGGTCCTCGGCCTGTGAGTCTCTATCCTCTTCTGTCAAGTCCCGCTTGTTGATAGATTGATTGATTGTGATTGATTGGCTGAATGTGTTTTTAATTTTCTTGCTATGTTCTGGCGCCCTTTCTTCCTCTTCGTTCCCTCGCGAAATCGGATGGTAGAGAGGGGGTGTTCTCTCTCTCCCGCCGTCTCTCTCTCTCTCTCCCCCTCTCTCTCTCTCTCTCTTCCCCCCCCCCCCCTTTCTCTCTCTTGCTTTGTACGTCAGGAAATCTTCGTTCATGGAGGGTGCTGGGTCACTCTTGTACCTGAGGTCGAATTTTTATTTATTTTGTTTTATCTATTTGTTGTTTTGTATATGCTTTGTTTCGTATATGTTGTTTTATATTAAATCTGTTTTAACTGTTTGGCGAAATGTTTTATATTAAATATATTTAACTGTTTTCCTCCTGCCGCTTTTCAGCGCCTGACACCAAGGCGCAGGCACAGATAGACACACACATGCACACACAGAGAGAGAGAGAGAGAGAGAGAGAGAGAGAGAGAGAGAGAGAGAGAGAGAGAGAGAGCATGTGCGCGCCTGATATTGAAGGGGAGAGAGTCCGTGTATGTGCGCGGTTGTGTGTGTGTGGAGAGAGAGAGAGAGAGCGAGAGAGAGAGCGAGAGCGAGAGCGAGAGAGAGAGAG